TTACGGGAGTCCGTCGGCGCTACAGCAGGCTCTGCTATCGCCCACGCCGCTAGAGTACCGGCCGCCACAGGTCACGCCCACTCTACAGGGCCTCCTCTCGCCACGCCACTCGCTAACGGGCCACGCCGACCCGCGCCTGCCGCCGCAAGACCTCGCCGCGCTCCTCAAGCGCCACTCACGCACAGCCCCGCCCCCGGCCACGCCCACTGAGATGCTGCTTCTGCAGCTGGGCCAATCCGGCGAGAGCTTGGAGCCTCCGCAAGCCCCGCCCACACAGCACTACCATCACCTGCTCCAGATAAGCCCCGCCCCTCCCTCGGAGAGCATGGAGGAGGACGAGGCGCCGGCCTATCACGAGGGCCTGCTGGCCAAAGCCGCCGCCCCCTCCTGTGACGAGATGCTGGCTCCGCCCCTCTGCAGCACGCCGCCCTACTCCTCTCCCACGCATAGACATGCCTACATGCGCGGCGCCACGGCAACAAGAGGTGACGCATCACTCACACACTCACACACACACACACACACACGCTTCTCCATCTAATGTATCGTTGGCCTGTTGTGTGTCAGAGTCATGTGACGCCTCAGACTGTCGGCCGATGGAAGGAGATCACAACGGCTACGGCTCGCACAGACCCCGAGGAGCATTACAGCGACATCACACCATCCAGACCTGCGACGACGCCTACGTGAGTGTGTGTGTGTGTGAGTGTGTGTGTGTGTTTGTCCAGCGCTGACCTCTTGACCCCCTGTTCTTGTAGGAGCAGGCGGAGCCTATGTCTGGGATGAGCTTATTGGCTGGGAAGGCGCTAAGCTCCGCCCGCATGTCGGACATCCTCAGCCAATCGTCTCTGACAGGAAGCCAGCAGCTGCAGCAGAGGGAGGGGCCAGGTGTGTGAACGCACACACACACACACACTCTCACGCACTCACTGACGACGATGATGATGGTGTTGTGTGTGTATGTGTGTGTTTAGACGTGGAGGCAGATGTCCCCCCCGCCTCCTGTTACCCGTCCTCCTGCACCAGTGACATGCTGCTAAGCTACAAACCCCCCGACCTGCAGTACAGCGTGGAACAGGCCGGGGTCTAACGAACACAGGTGTGTGTGTGTGTGTGTGTGTACACTCGCATAAAGCAGTATTGTATAGCAAAAACAGCTGAATGATTGTCACCATTTGCAAGTAAATTTACATTTTAGACTAAATTTACACACTTAATTTAACATTTGTTCATATTTCTATGTTTGTACGTATAATTTTATATGATATGTAATATATATAGTGATGTGTGTGTGTCTTCTCAGGGGTGTATTTGCTGTATAAAGCTCATATCCGTCTGCTGTGTTGTGCTGTCATGCCAAATCCTCATCGTCTGTCCGTCGGGGTGCCGTGGGCGTGGCCAGCACGCAGGGGGCGGAGCACTCGGCTTCCTCTTCGACGCCATTGGCCGTCATGACGTGGGAGTTTCTCTGATTGGCTGGGGCGAGTGCCGTCTGTCTGCTGAGGCCCAATAATCATCCGCCCCTCCCCCACCCGACCACGCCCTCTTACCGTCGCCATAGTAGCGCTCCCGCGCGCTCCGATGTACAAGGCTTACACAGAGTCTTATGTAAACACACACACACACACACACACACGAAGAGACGTCATTACCAAACGCCACAAACCCAAAGTATTTCACGTGAAGCCTGTGGGACGTCGCGGATCATTCCGGTCGGGCCGCGGCTCTCGCTCGCTCTTTCCTCACTTCTGTTCTTTTATTTTTAACGCATTTTTATGGCTAATGTTCTGTAGGAATTATGATTCATTATTGTTCTCGTTTTCTGTAAAAGACGTTTTATGGTTATGACATTATTAAAAAGAATGATTATTATTAAACCGTTCTATGTTGCAACAAGAGAACAGCAACGTTTGTTTCCTCACAAAGTGATTTTTGCACTTTCAGTTTTTGTTTTTTTGCTTTTCCTTCCTGTTTCTTGTTCTCCTCCTTCATTCCATACATCTGTCTGTCTGTCTGTGTGATGTCTATGACAGATGCATTGTGGGTAGTTCCACAGGTCATAGATGATGATGTTTTGAGCTTCATTTCCTTTTCAAAGCTTTATTGGTTATTTTTTTGTGGATGTTGTTGGAAAAGCTTTTGTATATTGTTTATTTTGCTATTTCTGTTCTAATGTCATGTTGATGTTTTAGCCAAATGTACAGACAGACAGACAGACAGACGCTTCATTTCACGTCTTTCTCAGAGTTTAGAGCCCAGTTCTATGGAAGCTTCTCTCCGCCACGGAATAAAAAGAAAAAGCAATTTATACGAATTTATATCGAACAATTATGACTTTTTACTTACAATTATGAGTTTACATCTCAAAGTCACAATATAGGTATATAAACTCGCAAATCCGAGTTTCTCACAATTGTGAAACTTTTTTAGCAATTCTATGAAAAAAGTTAGAACATACCTATAAAGTCACGAGAATAAAGTCATACTTGCATGAAACTTAGAATTCTGAGAAAAAAAGTCAAAATTGCAATTCTACAAAAAACGTAGAATATGTATATAAACTCACAACTTTTTTTCTCGCAATTCCACAAAAAAAGTCAGAATATAGTTCTATAATCTCACTAGAATAAAGTCATACTTGCAAGAAACAGAATCGTGAGAAAAAAAGTCAGTGAATATATGCATATAAACTCACAATTTCAATTGTACGAAAAAGTCAGAACATAGGTATATAAACGTGTCAGTAAAGTCAGAATTGCGAGAATAAAGTAATTGCAATTCCATAAAAAGTCGGAATATTATTATTATTTGCTTCTTACAATCATAAGGTATAAACTGAAAAAAAAAAAATCGCAAATTAGCCTTTTTTTATCCTGTGGCGGAAACGAGCTTCAGTAGAAATGTCGCTGAGATCGATCGACTTCTGCCGCCGTTTCGTCTTCGGTCTGACCAAACCAATAACGGTCACATGATCAGGCGAGACGGGCGTGTGTATCAGACAATCACCCGTCTGTGTGCGAGTTTGTGTCGATGATGGTGATGAAGAGAACCATGACCCTCCTCATCCTCCATCTGTCAATCATGTTATGCTCCGCCCTATTTTCCTTTCTAAATCTGTCAGTTTCTTCTCTCTTTTTTTTTTTTTTTGGCTTTATGTTTTTGGAAAAAATACTAAAGTGCAACAGCAAAGGTTAAAAAGAATTCCAAACAAAACTGAGAGAAATAATAAATATATATAAATAAAGAAATGAATATGACATAAGTGTGTGTGCTGTGTTCTTTGAGAGTGTGTTACTGAAGATCCCGATCGAAACACCGTCACCGTGTCGTAATCTCTTCAATATGGCGGCACAGGACCTGAAAGAGAGCGTTTACACTAATGCCAGCTGTCGCCCTTTATCGATGTGTGTTTGCGTTATGAACAGATGACACAATGAATTGAGCTTTTGTCCAGCTGCTGTTTGAAGTCATTAATTATTGACGAACTTTGATCTGAAGTGAATCAAAATTGAGCTGAATAACCCACACTATTGCCTTCCGTAGAGCTGCTTTTGAAGTCGTTTCATAATTGATGACTTTTACAGCATTTCATGTTTTATAACTGTGAAGGTGCTTTGAAACAATCTGTAGTGTATATATCGCTATAGAAACAAGTAGATGCTAGCACTGACACGTTTCAGGCTAACGATGACGGGTATTAACAAGTACCGCTTGTTATCGTTATCAACCTTCACCTAAGAGTGACGGAGGCCAGATAGTAGTTGCTGTGCAAGTAAACCTCACTCCTCTGATCTCGCGACAGACGCTGCAGTCTTAGAGCGCCCGACTCTCATGTCGGAGACCCGGGTTCGAGGGTCGAGTTGGACCCGGTGGAGGGGTTACGTAAGGACTAATTGTGAAGTTAGAAGATAAAAGTTTGTTTTGATGCAGTGATTGTTTGTGTCCCCCTGGATCAGGGTCTTCATTCCCTGAGTCTGCGGCACCTTCAACATCCGCTTTCTTGCAGATGTACACTTTGCAACTTTATCTCTTTGAGTAATTAAACTTCCTTCCGTGACACCAACCCCTCTTTCGGGAAACCTTTCAGACCTGTCTCTCTCTTCCTATTCCTAGTGTGGTTAGGTGGATCCCAAATGTTCAGTTCTCGTTCTGCTCGATTATCTGCCATCTCTGATGCTGTTAAACATCCGATCCTTCTGTCCACTCTCCCATCCCTGAACAACCCTAGCTGGTTTGAATCCTACCTCACAGGTCTGCAACGCCTCGCCTGGCCCCCGGGGTACCCCAGGGTTCAGTCCTGGGACCGCTCCTGTTTTCCTTATACACTACAACTTTGTACATCTTTCTCTGACACCCAATAAATCCTTACCAAATAATCAAGCTGACATTCATTTCAATCTCTTTTATTTATACATAAAGATGTAATTTACATAGTTTTTGAAGAGTGCGCATGTGTGGAGAGCTCTAGTGCGCAAGAATGGAGAGCCCTAAAATCACTTTCGAGAACCTTCTCATTCACTGTTTCATGATCTTCCCAAACCGGTCCTGACAGAATCCCTGAAATATTCGAGAAACAGCCGAAACTCTTCTCTTCTGAAAGCTGCATCGTTCCTCTACGCGTCACTGTTTCTCAATTGAAACTTCTCGCAGTTATCGTGTTTATTGCCCCTTTAACAAGAATCGCTTGTTGTATTCCTGTGGATAAAAGAGTCTGGTAAATGAACAAATGCTGCCTGGATCTGCATTATTCATCATCATGTGTTCTGTGTGCAGCTGCTCATGTCTGAATGTGATTCTGCACTGCAGAGGCTGAGCAGATCTGATAGTTGAGCTCAGATCTGACCGGGGTTATCCTGCGTCTGGTTGGAGGAGGTTCAGTTAAACACACACACACACACACACACACACAGAGAGAGAGAGAGAGAGAGAGAGAGTCAGTGAACACTCATCTGCTGCCTCCTACTCTCTGTGTTTTATATCAGTAACCCCCCCCCCCCCCCCCCCCATCCTGCTGCATCCGTGTGTGTGACGCTCCTGCATGTGTGTGTGTGTGTGTGTGTGTGTTCATGAATGGATCCACAGCCGGTCGGAATCAGCAGCGTCTCTGTGCCCAGAGGTAAAACACTGTGTGTGTGTGTGTGTGTTTTATAACTGTCATGTGCCTCAATTGTACAGTTTCAGTGTGTGTGTGATGCAGATGCTGCTGCATGAGTGTGTGTGTGTGTGTCCTGCAGCGAGAGATGCCGATTCTGCATGTCAACATCACACTGAACAGATTGTTTTCATTTGTTGACTGATGCATTTCAATCACTCTCGGTCTGAACGACACACACTTCAGCAGTTAATGGACAATTCTGTTATTGTAGTTTGTGCATCTGGTTGAGACTCTCCTGTTTTTTTCTTGTGTGTGTGTGTGTGTGTGTAGGTGACTATGAGGACGCTTATCTCTTCTTTATTGTTTCACACCATGATCTGGGCCAGCACAGGTAAGATGTTCTCGTTTCAATTATGTTTTTATTTCAGTATTGCTCTTGACTTTATTCTCCTCTCTGCTGGCAGAAATAGACCCCGCCCCCAAAATTGACGGACAGCAGACCTCGTCAGTCACGGTACAGGAGAACTTCACTCACCAGTTCAACTGCCAATCAGAGGGCTGGAATCCTCAAGCCCCGCCCCTGCTGACCTGGTACCTGAACGGGGAGAGGCAGAGCGAGGTGACGGGCAGCCGGGGGGCGGGGCGTCTGGTTATGACATCACCGGGGGATTCCGGAGTGCCTAGATACGGGTCCGAGCGCAACAGCACGTTCACGCTCAAACCCAGACGCTGGGACCGAGAGCTGGTGTGTGCGGCGCGAAACCCTGCCGGAGGAGAGAGTTACAACGCCACCGTCACGCTCAACGTCCAGTGTGAGTCCGGCACGCTCCGCTGATGAAGTTTATAAAAAAAACTATTCACAACATGTTAAATAATAATATAAACCATAACATGAGTAATAATTATATTTGTTAAATTAAGATAAATTATAGTATTAAATAAAGCTGCAAGCAGCAATTATCGGGGTTCAAGCGTTTTAAGACTAGGCTTTAGGGGTTAGGGTCTAGGGATTAGGGTCTAGGGGTTAGGGTCTAGGGGTTAGGGATTAGGGTGTAGGGATTAGGGTGTAGGGATTAGGGTCTAGGGGTTAGGGCTTAGGGGTTAGGGTCTAGGGATTAGGGTCTAGGGGTTAGGGTGTAGGGATTAGGGTCTAGGGGTTAGGGTCTAGGGGTTAGGGTCTAGGGATTAGGGTCTAGGGGTTAGGGTTAGGGTGTAGGGATTAGGGTCTAGGGGTTAGGGTGTAGGGATTAGGGATTAGGGTCTTGGGGTTAGGGTCTAGGGATTAGGGTCTAGGGGTTAGGGTGTAGGGATTAGGGTCTAGGAGTTAGGGTGTAGGGATTAGGGATTAGGGTCTTGGGGTTAGGGTCTAGGGCAGAGGGCCATTTGCGGCCCGCGGGATGATATTTTGTGGCCCCCTACTTGATATTAAAGTTTAATGTTAGTGCGGCCCGCCATTGCGTTTGCCGCGTTTTTTTATTATTAATATTTTTATCCCTTATGGGCTACCATATATAGTCTCGTGACAGTTTACGGTGGGTTTGTTGTCAGTTGTCATAGACAACCACGGAGTACAAATATACTGCGCCTGGAAAAAATGAGCACGTCGCTTCAATTATGAGGGCGCTTGATGCGCGCCTACATCTGAAACGTACGGCTACTTGAGCGTGCAAAATATGTGAGCGCGATATGTGAACAAGGCGAGCTACCACCACCAAATCAGGCCACAGCTCGCGAGCGACGTGTTGGAGACCCCTGCTCTAAAACAATGTGAGAATAATCATTTTGAGCTTGTAATATGCGTTGTGTCTGAACGCGTTCAATGAAAGATATAGTTCATGATCTCGCTCATATTTTGGGCGAACGTGAACTGAACGTAGCCTACTGTATTACTGCCTGATGAAAGTTACAGTGAACTCGTTCATTCTAGTAGTGTCTGTGAACCGAGGAGCGAGGAGGCGTCGTAAGATCTTTTAAAAGGCTTTTATGAGGTCGGTGAGGATGGGAAAATCTTACATGTCTGTGCAAACTTTGCCCGTCGACAAAATTATTGTTATCTGTGGTTGTATATGGGCTGTGGCAAATAATAATACCATAATAATAAAAAAGAAGCTCGCAGCAACATATGGAAAAAAAGAACTAACTAGTCCATTTTAAAATTTGTGAACTGAACTTTGAACTAGTTCATGTAATGAACTTGGTCCAACAGGTTGATAAGAAGGTTTGCTTTGATATGTGCAAAGTCAGTAATTTTAGTAAAAAAGAGACAATATACATGTGTAGAAATAATTATTTGTATTTCAAAAGCAGTAATTGTTTTTCTAAGTAGCTATAATAAAAGGAAATATGCCTTTAGGAAAAAAAAGAAAAAAAAACATTCAATATAATAGTGTTGTATAAAGAAAATAAAAAGCAAATTTGACTATCATCACGAAGATGTTGTGTATAAGAAAAAGACAGAAAGTTTGTAAAATGAACTTCAACTGTCAGAAGGACAGCTCATGAAGAACCAATCATGTACAGAAAGGATGTTCAAACAGTTCAGGAACAGTTCAAAAGAAACGTTAATAATAAAGATTGAGAAGATTGGATCAGTTGTGCTCCATTTTTGGAATACTTAAATACAATTTTTTTTTTTTTTTTGTAATACTTGATGCGGCCCGGCCTGACCCAGACTCTGTCTCCAGCGGCCCCCAGTTAATTTGAGTTTGAGACCCCTGGTCTAGGGGTTAGGGGTTAGGGTCTAGGGATTAGGGATTGGGGATTAGTGTCTAGGGGTTAGGGTCTAGGGTTTATGGGTTAGGGTCTAGGGATTAGGGTCTAGGGGTTAGGGTTTAGGGGTTAGGGTCTAGGGGTTAGGGTCTAGGGATTAGGGGATTAGGGGTTAGGGGTTAGGGTTTAGGGATTAGGGGTTAGGGTCTAGGCAATCACTCTTCAGGTTTCACATTAATCATAATGTGGCACAATTGTCATAAACTTGAAAAAACACATGTGAGTGGGTTATAATAGTGATTTAAAAAAGTCTGAAAATGTATAAAAAGGCAAAACCAGTGAAAAGAACTATATTAGTTGTAGAGTACGTTGCAGAATATATTGGGTGTTAAGAAAAGTAGCACCACCCGGTGGCCATTGTTTTTCAAACTTCGCACACACCTCCAGGACCGAGAGTCAAACGTACCCACCAAGTTTCATTCCAATCAGCCTCTGTTATCCGGGTCTAAGAGGCGCGCCAATTTCACTGGCCGAAGACAGCCATGTTTTTCGTGATACAGGAACCTCATCATGGCCACTTGGACAAAGACAAAGACACCGCATGCCAATTTTCTAGTCAAATCACACTAATGGTTGCATAGTTACAGATGTTTTTATGTTTGTTTGTTTGTTTTTATATTGTAGCGCCACCAAGTGGTGAATCACCAGAGTTTTTTTTTGTACGACCACAGAATGAGCTTGTACACGAGGATAACAAGTTTGGTGAGAATATCTCAGACATTTTGGCGTTCCGTCGCGAGGATTGCATGTGTTATTAATGATAATACCAATAATATTCATTTAAATTTTGTTCTGTCGGTCAGATATTTGACATAAGATAATGACTTCACTGGTTAAATTTTATGTTTCAACCACAGGCCATGGCTTTAAAAGCATGAACTAACCTCGTTCCTCGTGTCCCAGTCCAGCCGGAGATCTTGCGTGTGGACGCCCACTACAGCGAGACCGCGGACCCCGGCCTCTCCCTCATCCTCTTCGCTTTGGTTCGGTCCAACCCCCCCGCCACCATCACCTGGGTGGATCGGTCCGGTCAGCTGCTGGCCAACAGCTCCGACTTCCTCATCCTGGACTCCCGGAGCCATCCGTGGCTGGCCAATCACAGCCTGCAGGTCACTCTGAGCAGCCTATCAGGAAACATCTCGGTCAACGCCAACAACAGCCTTGGCTCCGCCCACAGCAACCTCACGCTCACAGGTGGGACGATCCGATAATAATCATAAATGTGTGTTGATCATCAGATCCTCATATTAGAGTGATTTCTGAAGGATCAAGACACTGAAGACTGGAGTAATGATGCTGAACATTCGCAGTAATAAATTACACTTCACTATATATTCACATAAAAACAGCTGTTTTACATTGGAATAATATTTCATTGTTTTTAAAGCTACACTGTGTAACTCTTTTAGTTTATTCTTTGCTAAAAACACTTAGTTCTTTCAAAAATATATGTGCTCATTAATGTATATTTACTTCGTTCAAGTAAAGTATTCTCGTGAGTGTATAATATGCCATTGAAAACACATACGGGTAAGGGGTTCTGATGTCGGCCTCCATCTTGAAAGTACATTAGCCAAAGAGGGACATACTCGTTAATTCAAGCTTCGCCTTTCGTGTTTACGTTTGAGTTAACACTCACTGGAAGCCATGTTAATCTTGGACTACATTGGCCACCGTAGGAGTTAAAACGAAATCGGAATTCAGAGGAACAGAAGCTAATATTCCCTGGATACCTTTTCACCACTAGATGGGGGTAAAAATCACACAGTGCAGCTTAATCAAATAAATGCAGCAGAAGAGATTTTTCAGAAGCATCTCACCGACCGGCGGTGTATAAACGTGTATTTTTATGTCCCGTTCCTCCAGATTTCCTGCAGTCGCGAGTGGAGGTGCCGATGTTCGGGATAGTGACGGGTGGTGTCGCCGGCGTCGTCACCCTCCTCATCTTCACCTTGATGGTCTTCTTCCTCCTGCAGAAGGACAAAACCAAAGCCATCGGTACAGATCCTAAACGATACAACCCCGCAGATGAAAGTGTGTATATTCATGTGTTCATAAACGCCTCGTTCTGTATTGTTCCTCAGAAGAGCCCGTCGGAGCGCATCTGTCCTCCAAACGGTGCGACACGTCTCCCAGCATTCTCCGCTAGTAATACCATCACTGAACGATGATGTCGTGACTGCTCTGGTGTTTGTTGGTTGCAGGAACGAGATGGTGAAGATTCAGGTGAACGGTTTTTATCTCCCCAGAGAGAACATGTCTTTACCGTCTCACGTGCAGCTGAACGACGACCGCACGCTCTGTAAGGGTGAGTCCCGAGCTGCCGATCTGACGGATAACATTTGCCAATAAAGCAGCGTTTCCATCCCAACCAACATTTGAGATGCTGCGATGCCATTGGTCCGCTGGTTACTCCAGTCATCCAATCACAGCCTCTGCTGAGCCAGTCACATGAGGTTTGAGGGATTTACACAGTAAATTGGCTTCCGTCGTAGATTATAATACATTATCTTATCAGATAAAACAATGATCCTCCTCGATTGAGTGCACGAGTGTTTTATAGAATTTATAAATGGAGTATTTTTATGCAATCTCCCAAAATTTGCTTAAAATATGTGTATGGAAACCTATCTAATGTGAGTGTCTAAAACATCACCTGTTTCAGGGCAGAAGATCTCCAGACCAAACACACTGGAGAGAAGACGCGCTGACGAGGAAGAGGAGGATCTGTCTGCGGCCTACGCTGCCCGAGGTCAGAGGTCATGACCTTAAAGGGACAGTTCACCCAACAATGTAAATCCCGACATCATTTACTCTCCCTCATGTCTTTCCAAACCCATGACTTTCATTCATCTTCTGAACGCAAATGTAGATGATTATAATGAAATCTTTCGGTATTCACCGAAAACTCTGACATAAGGAGAAAAATAAACCCGTAAGAATAGAGCGCTTTACATCCAAAAACCAAGTCTTCCGAAGAGACACGGTTTAGTTTAGTTTATTCACATGTTAACTTTGTTTAGCGAACATAAACTGTTCTGATAAACAAACCTGATTGGTTCTTCAGCTTACCATATTTGATGAGCTAATCAATCTTTATATAGGCTATGTGAATAAAAGCCTAATAAATTAAATTATACATTTTTGGGCGAACTGTCCCTTTAAAGAACCCTGATATCAAGAACCAATAACGAGAGACCAAGTGTTCCTCACTGAGAACGATTGTGTCCCGACAGGTTTCGCTCGCTATCCGATGGTGGGATACATCTATAAAGTGAGCAGCACCAGCAGTGACGAGATCTGGCTATGAACATCTGGACACTCTGACCTCTGACCTCACGAGGCCTGATCCAGCTCAACCCTGACAGCAGGCAGAAGATCGGTTTCAGCGTTCTTATCACTCGACAAACATCAACACAGATTTACTGACAAATTTTGACTGCAGCTCAAGAGTTTGAGTGACAGACTGCTTTGTCCTGGTGAAGAACTACACTACCCATAATGCACTGAGCAGAGAAAACGCTGCTACTATGGAAACGGGGACTTTCCCCCACAGACTTGCTAGGTATCAGCAAACTAACATTAGTTAATTGTATTGTGCTGGTGACGATTCTCTCATACAATCAGAAAACGCTTGAATTCAGCGACAGAGATTCATGGATCCGTAGTTCATTTAGAAGTACCTGTACATGAATGGACTGTAAATATGTGCTCTCATCAGTATTTACCCAGAGTTCATTGCTGCTATACGGAATGATGCTACATCATATTTATGTAAAGGAATGTTCAGTTAAATATGCAGATTTTGTGAAATACATGTATTTAGATGAATAGAAATATAAAGATTATTGAAATCATATTTGTAAAGCTCATTCTGAGTCTGATCCAGCAGGAGGCGCCACTGGTTTAACTTTACCTGAGCTTAGTTAGCTAGTGCTAGTTTATTCTTACTCCAGTGTGATTGTCCTTCTCTTGCTTGTGAAAGTTGCTGTATTATTATTATTGTGAGAAATAGGCCTACCTCAATAAAGTCTATAGAGAATAACACATCATACGTGATTACTGTAATGATGTTGTGTGTGGAATGAAGTGTGTGTTTTGAAGGATGTTCGCAGGTGTTTGTGGTCTTCAGTTTACGGTGCCGGAAGTCGATCTTTCATCTGCAGGTTTTGCTCTTATTGATGTCAGACTGTGTGGAAGAGCACAAAAACACATATAAAACACACATGAGCCATAATCGCGGCTGTCACGTGTGTGTGTGTGATTGTCCTGAGGCGTTGAGCTCGTGACGCCGAGCGCGGGAAGAGGTTCAGGCCCGGATCGTGTTCTGGCTTCCGGTTGATCTCGGTCTTCAGACTCACACGAGGATCCGGAGCTTCTGTGGAAACTTCACTCGAGCTACATTTAACACAAACTACGGTAACTCTTTATTTTACAGTTTCCTTGTTATATATGTTACTTACCATAATAATTATGCACAATTAGCCTACATGCAACTAACCCTCAACCTTATTGTTGTTAATTGTGATCACTCAGGACTTAAATATACAATTACTCTCTAACAATGGCACCTTAAAATAAAGTGTAAAGTTAACCGAAATTACTATTATAAACCAGCAGGTTACAGTTTATTTGGAGGTTACTGTCTCCTTGTTTCATGTGTTACATGTACTTATAACAGTAAATTAGCATAATTACATGCATGGTAATACATCGTCTATTAATATTATTCAGCACTTGAATATATGATTGCACTGTAACATTACCCTTTATTTTAAGGTGACACAGTTTGATCGTATTAAGTAATATTAATTAACCATGCACTTACTATAGAGTTACGCTTTGGTTTAATTATGCTTAGGCTAATGTGCTGTTATTACTTAAGTAAATTAATGGATCGCCTTAAATTAAAGTGTTACTTAAAAGCGTATTTAAATTGTTTTATATATGGAGGGGATTTGAGCTTTGAACTATAGTTGGATTGTAACTGTAATGTGATATTAATATAATATATCTTGTTAGAGATACACCTATATATAGACTTTTTTATTATAATTTATTGTAACGCTTTACAATAAGGTTTGATTTGTAAACATTAGTTAACTGTATGAAAAATGCTTTTACAGCGTTTATTAATCTTAGCAAATGTTAGAACATCTGCTAGTACATTATTGTTATTATTATAGATTAATATATATTATTATGTATTGGATCTGAGCTGACACTGTTGTATTTTATTAATTCACTTTTAGAAAGATGAATAAATACTGTAACAAACGTAATGCTCGTGTTAACGCGTTATCCGGTATATGATACGGTTCATTTCATTGTTTATTCATGTAATCGTTCATAAAACAATAATTGTATAACCAGAATTAATAAATGTTGTAAGTTTTTTAATATAATCATGGCATTTGAACAAATATGAATAATTGTAAGGACTTATCAAATGTTTTAATGGATCAGAAAGTTTTTCCTCATTACCAGTTCTGTGTGTGTGAGCTCAAGTGTGTGTGTGTGTGTGAGCTCAAGATGGAGGACGGTGATCTCTGAGCTTCTGTCTTTATGCGCAGGGGAGAGAATAATCACACACACACACACACACACTGAGGATGGAGCGACGCTTGTTCTGGCTGTTGTGTGTGCTGGCTGCTCTGGGATCAGTCACATCGGACGGTAAGACTCGACTTCAGCTGGACGTGTTCACTCGTTGGCAGTGACAGAAGTTTAATGATGCGCTTTGCAGATCCTGTGGTGCTGCCAAAGTTCAGCATTGTGGAGAGCAGCAAGACTCTGGAGTGTGATAATGGGAACTTTAAGCCGAAGTCTCTGACGGTGTCGGCTACCTACTCCTGCTGCTTAGATGACAGCGACGAAACGACCTGTTCTAAAGCTGTAGTGAAGACCCTGTGTGAGTAAACCCTGTCTGTCTCTTTTTTCTGAGTGAACTGTGTGAGAAATATTTTATTTAATGTTGAGGAATCTGGGGCTAATATCCTCAATCTGTCTAATAATGACCAGAACACACACACACACACTCCGTAAATCCTGGAAAAAATACAGTAAGGAATGTCAACAGAATTACATTTACAGAACAACCTTTGACAATTTAAAACTGTAATTATCAAAGCAAACGTAATGTGGCGAATCGAATGTTCTGATGAATAATAACGTTTACCGACAAACATCGTCATAACCCTGATCATAAATGATGAATCACAGACTCTTTTACACGAGCGGAGAGAGACGGGTTTACAGTAGAGACACAACCCATCATGGAAACACACACACACACACACAATCAAAGCTGACTCTCTGACACACAGGGAATTCTGGGAAATGTCAGTTTGAGGTTTTTCACTGTAAATTATAAGACGATGCTATTTTTCACCTCCAGAAACTTTGAAGCGTTGTGTGCTGTAACGTTACATGAAAGCGTCCCATTGAGAACGGGAAAACCGTGACTCTATACACTAAAGTACACTAAAGCAGACCAAACGCTTTTATTTTCTTCTCTCGCAGCCAAATCAGCACCATTCAGTGCATTACAACCCGAACGATCCTTTTGTGGAATAAAAGTTCTTCCATCTAAGTCAGTAAAGAAGCTTCATATGTGTGTGTGTGTGTGTGTGTGTGTGTGTGTGCGCAGCTGAAGAGAATCTGATCCAGTTGGACATGTCGGCTGTGATCACGGTTCTGGTGAGCGATGTCCTCGTCACGGCTCTCATCGGATGGGCCGTTTACATCGTGTGTGCTCAACCCTCCACCCGGGCCAGCTACCAGGACAGCAAAGGTGAGTCACACACACACACACTCACACACTCTCACACACACACTGATCCTCTCTATCCTCTGTGTGTCCAGCCTCGGACCGGAAGAACCTGATCTCGAACGAGCGCCCGGCTGACGGCGCGTCAGGAGACATGTATCAGGTGCTGATGTTACTCTTACATTTATTTAAGCTTTATTTTATCAGGGATGCCGATTGAGAACAAATTCTCATTTACATAAGAAAGAATATCTTGTTTTTTGATATTTAAACAAAATCTAAATGATCTAAGTTATCTAAATCTAAGTTAAAAGCCAAAGGGGAGAGAAATAAAATCTTGTTTTCCATGTTAATTCAGATTATTTTTCTCTCCACTTTGGCAGAAACTGTAATTTTGCTTGTTTAGATTTTTTAATTAATTATATAATTTAACAAGATATGATTTCTTGTATTTTCCTTATCTAGTAAATGCATCTTGATTTGGACTGGAAACCAGTGCAGTGTGTGTGTGTGTGTGTGTGTGTGTGTTATTTTACATCATGTCTGTCAGTGTTTCAGTGGAAAACGTTAGACAAGTAAATTATAGGAATTATAATACTATAAAATAAATAAGATTAAATGTACGTAATTTGACATTATCACACTAGATGAATGACGTTCTTGTGGAAACACTTTACAATCAGTGTTTTAGTTAATTAAGAACTAATTTATTATTTATCAATCTCATTTCATGTTAATCTCAACATTTACAAAAACTTGTCTAACGTTTTCCAAGTACGCTAATAAAATCAAAACTTGCATCTCTTAATGAGTTAATGCTTTAAATAACATCATTTTATTCTATTGACAGCCAAACTGTTTCTCTTGACTTTATATATCTAAATATACTCTAATGAAGGGTCAAATATTAATATTAAAAGCTAAAAATTTCCAGATGATATTTTACACCAAATGTATAATGTTTATATTTCTCACAGCATAATGGGGTCTGTATACGTGAGATTTCTAGCTGGCTTTTATAAGTTATACAGGGTCATTAAATACATAGTTACGCTTACTGTGAAGTTTAATTAATGTGTGATTGATAATTAATGTTTTATCTGTGATCCAGCGGCTGAACACGCGCACCGACGAGTACAGCACTCTTCACGCGCAGCGCAAACCCAAGAACAGCAAATACCCCTGAGCCCAAGAAGAAGAAGAAGAAGCCTGGGTTACACCGGGTTATTAGAGGAAATAATGTCTTATATCAGTTTATTAGAGGAAATAATGTGTTTTATCAGTTTATTAGAGGAAATAATGTGTTATATCAGTTTATTAGAGGAAATAATGTGTTATATCAGTTTATTAGAGGAAATAATGTGTTATATCAGTTTATTAGAGGAAATCTGTCTATTTTCAAATACTGCTGTGTTGCTCTAAAACGCTTTCATTCTCTGTAGTTGATGTAGTTCTCCTGTAGATGTAAATGCTTCAAATAAACGCTTGCGAGTCAATAAACATGTCTTTCCCACCCGCTGTGCCGTCGCTTCTGTCTCAGATCACAGATTTCTTCAGTTCAGCTCATTAAAGCGAATGTGCAGGTCGCTGTCGATTAGCGCAGACTGAATGAAGGTGTTTACGGTAAAGATATGAATACACTAAAACATAACCGCAATTTTAACGGTAAAAGACTGATAGAAGTATCTCCTAACCCTAACGGCAAAAGAATGCTACAGTGCAAAACTGTTAATTGGTTAACAGAAAGTTTCCGTAAATAAGTGTGATATAATTTTACTGTAAAATACAGTTAAATTTACAGTTTTTGAAAGTGAAAAAGAACAACTCATTGTATAATTTACAGTGAAATTGACATTCCCACAATTCGCTGTGTGACACTTCACATTTGATGTGTTTTTGTTAAAATAACTGGTTCCTCAAAGTTTTCTTGTTTGTTTTTTTTCTAATCAGTTATGTACATTAGGGTTTTATGTTACATTTAATGTTGTTCAATTAATGTTCATTTTAATTTCATGTGTGTTACCATGATGGTGTTTAATGTTATCAGATATCAATTTATCAAAAGGTTGGTAAATCAACATTTTATCAGAAAATGAAATATGTAAATTTACAGTAATACAACGTTTCTACTGTATTTTTAACAGTAAAGTTCTGGCAACCACATTTGCTGTTTTTTTTACCGTAAAAATTTCGGTTTTATTTTTTTACAGTGTATGATGCAGGTAGAAACATGAATTATTGAGAACGTTTAAAGGAATCATTCAGCCAAATATAATCATCCTGTCATCGTTTACTCGTATCGCTAATAAACAAAGGAAGATATTGTGAGGGATATCAGTGAAAGTCGGTGTTGTCTGGTTCCCGCTGTTCTCCTAAATAGCTTATTTGTGTTCAGCGAAAGAAATAAAGTGATCAGGGTTGAACAACATAAGGATGAAAGTAATCCAGTTCAGCTCACTGACGTCACCAGAGCTCCGTTTTAGGAAACCGGTCTTTGATTGGTTATAATTAGTCACCAGCTCATTTCTGGTGTGTTTTCTTTGTGGTTTCCGTTCCGAGACGAGAAAAGCAGAAAACTGCCTGAACAATATCAACGTTCACATCAACCACACAGACACATGCATTCATACACACACGCAAACCCATACAACACAGATATATTATAAATATGTCTGTCTAACTTTCCCATTAAGTTATAAAAGTGTATTCCTGAATGTTCCATGAATGTTTAAAATTTGGGAACATGTTTTGGGGCCAGATAACTCAAAACAAACGTCACAGGAAGAACGTTTGTACGTATCTTTAGGAGAACCTTGGCAGAACATTAGCCAAAGCCCGAGAACCTTCCCTGTTTGGGTTTATACACACATGCACGTCCTGTTTACCGTCTTTACTGAAGATTACCGTCTTCTACAATCACATCGACACATTTCACAATACTTTTTCAAAACTCTTCACACAGTTCTCCTAACCAACGTTCAGCTTTGCACAGTGACTAAATGCTTCAGTGACTCGACGGAAGTAGTCGAAGTCAGAAGAGCAAGTCAACACAAAAGGGTACATCCTATATGACTTGTTCAAGTTCAAACCCAGAAGCAAAGCTATAAGGACTCAGCTATGGCTATGCTAATATAGCACAAACAAAGCCACTGAGATTCTTGTGAACCAGACTCTATACTACAAGGGAATCGCAGGGGAGTTTAAGCCCTACTCAGAAACCCTAATAACTAACTAATTAGTAGAGTTGCAAATGAGAGAATTATTCTCTTATTCCATTATTCCCAAGCTCATATCCAAGGTAAAGGGCACTCTCTGTATAGCGATCTCCGGCCCTATGCCAAGAAACAAAAAAGGAGGTAATTACCTTATCTTTACAGGGCTCTAGCTAAGAAGCCCAAAGGGGTGTACAGTTTGTCCCTACTTCAAACCCAACACTAGTTGGGGAGGGAGGTAAATGGGATAACACTGTCCATAATCACTCCATCTCCCTGTATTGACCATAATGAGATACTTGTCTAAATATCCCAACTTAAATTCCAAATAATAGGGCAGGGCAGAAAAGAGTAACATGGGATGCATAGTGTTTCAAGTACTGTGACTCACACTCTTAAGCAACCCATCCAAAAGGGCTGTGTATATTCCCATGCTCACACAAACCCTCCACATTCGGATAATTCGAAATACTTGAAGGGAGTACTCAGCTGAGTATGAGTTCTTTCATGAGTTTTGCTTCTACATCCACCAGATCCCTGGATCTGGCTTGAGGAGAGCCGGGAATGGACTCGCCTCTCCCGAACTCTTGCAGATCCCTGGATCTGGATCGAGGAGAGCCGGGAATGGACTCGCCTCTGCCGAACTCTTGCAGATCCCTGGATCTGGCTTGAGGAGAGCTGGGAATGGACTCGCCTCTGCCGAACTCTTGCAGATCCCTGGATCTGGCTTGAGGAGAGCTGGGAATGGACTCGCCTCTGCCGAACTCTTGCAGATCCCTGGATCTGGATCGAGGAGAGCCGGGAATGGACTCGCCTCTGCCGAACTCTTGCAGATCCCTGGATCTGGATCGAGGAGAGCCGGGAATGGACTCGCCTCTTCCGAACTCTTGCAGATCCCTGGATCTGGCTTGAGGAGAGCTGGGAATGGACTCGCCTCTCCCGAACTCTTGCAGATCCCTGGATCTGGATCGAGGAGAGCTGGGAATGGACTCGCCTCTTCCGAACTCTTGCAGATCCCTGGATCTGGCTTGAGGAGAGCCGGGAATGGACTCGCCTCTTCCGAACTCGTGCAGATCCCTGGATCTGGCTTGAGGAGAGCCGGGAATGGACTCGCCTCTTCCGAACTCTTGCAGATCCCTGGATCTGGCTTGAGGAGAGCCGGGAATGGACTCGCCTCTTCCGAACTCGTGCAGATCCCTGGATCTGGCTTGAGGAGAGCCGGGAATGGACTCGCCTCTTCCGAACTCTTGCAGATCCCTGGATCTGGCTTGAGGAGAGCCGGGAATGGACTCGCCTCTTCCGAACTCGTGCAGATCCCTGGATCTGGCTTGAGGAGAGCCGGGAATGGACTCGCCTCTTCCGAACTCGTGCAGATCCCTGGATCTGGCTTGAGGAGAGCCGGGAATGGACTCGCCTCTTCCGAACTCTTGCAGATCCCTGGATCTGGCTTGAGGAGAGCCGGGAATGGACTCGCCTCTGCCGAACTCTTGCAGATCCCTGGATCTGGATCGAGGAGAGCCGGGAATGGACTCGCCTCTGCCGAACTCTTGCAGATCCCTGGATCTGGATCGAGGAGAGCCGGGAATGGACTCGCCTCTGCCGAACTCTTGCAGATCCCTGGATCTGGCTTGAGGAGAGCTGGGAATGGACTCGCCTCTGCCGAACTCTTGCAGATCCGTGGATCTGGATCGAGGAGAGCCGGGAATGGACTCGCCTCTGCCGAACTCTTGCAGATCCCTGGATCTGGATCGAGGAGAGCTGGGAATGGACTCGCCTCTGCCGAACTCTTGCAGATCCCTGGATCTGGATCGAGGAGAGCCGGGAATGGACTCGCCTCTTCCGAACTCGTGCAGATCCCTGGATCTGGCTTGAGGAGAGCTGGGAATGGACTCGCCTCTCCCGAACTCTTGCAGATCCCTGGATCTGGCTTGAGGAGAGCCGGGAATGGACTCGCCTCTCCCGAACTCTTGCAGATCCCTGGATCTGGCTTGAGGAGAGCTGGGAATGGACTCGCCTCTCCCGAACTCTTGCAGATCCCTGGATCTGGATCGAGGAGAGCTGGGAATGGACTCGCCTCTTCCGAACTCTTGCAGATCCCTGGATCTGGCTTGAGGAGAGCCGGGAATGGACTCGCCTCTTCCGAACTCGTGCAGATCCCTGGATCTGGCTTGAGGAGAGCCGGGAATGGACTCGCCTCTTCCGAACTCTTGCAGATCCCTGGATCTGGCTTGAGGAGAGCTGGGAATGGACTCGCCTCTTCCGAACTCTTGCAGATCCCTGGATCTGGCTTGAGGAGAGCTGGGAATCGACTCGCCTCTCCCGAACTCTTGCAGATCCCTGGATCTGGCTTGAGGAGAGCCGGGAATGGACTCGCCTCTTCCGAACTCGTGCAGATCCCTGGATCTGGCTTGAGGAGAGCCGGGAATGGACTCGCCTCTTCCGAACTCTTGCAGATTCCTGGATCTGGATTGAGGAGAGCCGGGAATGGACTCGCCTCTTCCGAACTCTTGCAGATCCCTGGATCTGGATTGAGGAGAGCCGGGAATGGACTCGCCTCTTCCGAACTCTTGCAGATTCCTGGATCTGGATCGAGGAGAGCTGGGAATGGACTCGCCACTCCCGAACTCTTGCAGATCCCTGGATCTGGATTGAGGAGAGCAGGGAATGGACTCGCCTCTCCCGAACTCTTGCAGATCCCTGGATCTGGCTTGAGGAGAGCCGGGAATGGACTCGCCTCTCCCGAACTCTTGCAGATCCCTGGATCTGGATTGAGGAGAGCCGGGAATGGACTCGCCTCTCCCGAACTCTTGCAGATCCCTGGATCTGGATTAAGGAGAGCCGGGAATGGACTCGCCTCTCCCGAACTCTTGCAGATCCCTGGATCTGGCTTGAGGAGAGCCGGGAATGGACTCGCCTCTCCCGAACTCTTGCAGATCCCTGGATCTGGCTTGAGGAGAGCCGGGAATGGACTCGCCTCTCCCGAACTCTTGCAGATCCCTGGATCTGGATTAAGGAGAGCCGGGAATGGACTCGCCTCTCCCGAACTCTTGCAGATCCCTGGATCTGGATTGAGGAGAGCCGGGAATGGACTCGCCTCTCCCGAACTCTTGCAGATCCCTGGATCTGGCTTGAGGAGAGCTGGGAATGGACTCGCCTCTTCCGAACTCTTGCAGATCCTTGGATCTGGATTAAGGAGAGCCGGGAATGGACTCGCCTCTCCCGAACTCTTGCAGATCCCTGGATCTGGATTGAGGAGAGCCGGGAATGGACTCGCCTCTCCCGAACTCTTGCAGATCCCTGGATCTGGCTTGAGGAGAGCTGGGAATGGACTCGCCTCTTCCGAACTCTTGCAGATCCCTGGATCTGGATTGAGGAGAGCCGGGAATGGACTTGCCTCTCCCGAACTCTTGCAGATCCCTGGATCTGGATTGAGGAGAGCTGGGAATGGACTTGCCTCTTCCGAACTCTTGCAGATCCCTGGATCTGGATCGAGGAGAGCTGGGAGTATTGAGCAATTTCTTTGGTAATATTTTGTTTTGGTATGTAAGTTTCCCCTTTTGTATAGATGATAATGCAATCGAAAGATAGTATTTCATTGATAGTATTTCATTCAGATTTTATACTACTGTAGGAATGTAGCAGTTTGCGGTCTTATTCAGTTTTGTATGATGCTTTGAACTTAAGTTGAGCACTTGTGAAAGCAACAGTAGATATTCTCGAGGTGCAGAGAGTGTTCGGGGGTTTGTGTGAGAAAAGAAGTGATGTAATTTGAAAGATGTGGTCATTCAATGCATTCTGTCCCAAAGCAAATCCTCAGTTTAGTTCACCCAGACTGATGAAGAAGAGTTTTGAAAAGAGGCCAACGTAAGTATAAACTATTTAAAGCAGAAAGCACTCAACACAGTTACACAAAATCAACTTTATTTTTGACTTTTACTTTTTCCAGTACACCAGTTCAATCTGCATCATTCAACCCTCGGCTTACTTCAGTTCAGTTGATTTAAATAATTTTTGCATAAGATAAAAATCTAGAATGAATAGTTGCACTTGCAGATCAAAACAACATATAAACGTGTGTGAAGATTACAAACTCAAGACAAGACACACTCTTCAAAACAGAAAACTCCAAAGACAGACGAGTTTAGTTACAGTATTTCACATGCTGATGTTTCCATCATGAGTTTCCGATGTTTCATGAGCAGAAGTTTCCACAAACACACACTCACGAACATCACAAAACCCTGATCAGCGAGTCACAGTCTGACTCTGACATATCAATAATCAATAACACACACCGTGGAACGACTGGGACTGTGTAAGGCACACTATGATTCATCAGGGTTTCAGGCCGGCGTACAAACTACTGCTGACCGTGTGCTGATTCAGCCGCTGGAAACACACAAACATCACAGTTACAGCCACACATTTACACTTATTATACATAACATTTACATTACATGACCGGAACTCAAATGTCTTGTCGCGTAAATGACACAATTACAGGATCGTTAATAATTCTTGCAGTAACGTTAATAAAACGTTCATTCAGATTTATCTCGTCTTTAATCTCAAAACATCATTTATATTCATGAAACTTTTTTTCCTGAAACGTTTTATTTGGACATTCATCTTATAAATGTTACCATAATGTTTGCAATAACAATGAAATGCAATTTTATGAAAACATTCGCATAACCAAGTTTCAAAAAAAGACATTTTAAAAACTCAGAAATAAACTTTTTATAACTCGATTGGAAAGTTTGTTAAATGTTCTTGGAATGTGTTTTTGTTAGCGGGAACCGCTGTTACTACGGCAACACTGGATTATTGACCAATCACAACACACTTTAACATTTTCTCTTTCTGCGGTGATGAAAGACTCATTAATAACTACAGGCAATGCCTTATTACATTAATCTGTGACGTTATTCACATGATTCGCACACGTACCTCATAGTCTGGGTTTGGAACGGGAGGAGCGCTGGTTGTTCGAGGTTTGGATGCTGTAGATGTAAAACAAATTAAACAATGAAAATGTTGAAGGGATTGTTCGCCCCTAAAATGTAAATTCTGTTATCATTTACTCTCCCGAATGTTGTCCCGAGTTTCTGTCTTCAGTTAAACACACAACAAGACATTCTGAAGAATTGCGGTAACCAGACAGATGATTTTGGACCCCATTGACTTCCCCAAGTGTGTGTGTGTGTGTGTGTTGTACCTTTGTGCTGAGTGCTGCCAGTGTTTTTCCGCACACACATGTAGACGATGAGAATAACGGCTCCTGTGAGCAGTAGATCCCCCAGTATGACGCCCGTCGCCATCAACCCGCTCATCTCGTAGCAGTTCTCACACACTGCGGAGAGAAGAGGGACATGAGTGTGTGTGTGAGAGGAACATTGCATGATGATCAACATGAAGTTTCCTCACCCTTTACATTGACATAGAAAAAGTTTGTGATTGTTTTTGAGTTGTGTTTGTGTTCACAGCTGAACTCTCCATTCACCATCCCGCCCTGATCCACCGAAACTGTTGCGTGGTTCTCTGTCTCCGTCTTCAACTCGTCTTTTCCCTTCTTCCACGTCCATGAACCCTCTTCTCCTTCGCAGGTCAGAGTCACGCCGCTGTCTGTGACTCTAATGTCTTCAACAAAAACAAACCCAAATGAAACGAGCAACATGTGATTATAGTGGATGTTCATGTCAAACAGGCACTGGATAATGAGCTCAGATCATGGATGTGTGTGATCGTCACCTTGACTGTCGGCCGCTGCCGTGAGCATCAGGAACACGAGGCCCACGAGGATCATCTCTGCTGAGGAAGAAGAAGATGAAGATGATGATGATGGTTTCTGTCTTGAAGTCGAGTTGTTCTGATCTCTCGGTGTCTCTGTGTTTCGCTACAGGAAAAGGAAACCTCAAACGCCCTCGTTCTCTCTCTCTCTCTCTCTCTCTCTCTCTCTTTATCAGCTCAGCTGTGTCTCTCACACACTCCTCGAGAACACACACATCTCGCACTACATTACTCACTGCATCAACAAACAATAACGTCCTAATGTTACTTAATACAAATACAGTTGTTAATGTTACTTCATGTTCAGGTCTGATAAATAATAAACACACTTTTTGATTTTAAGGTTACTCTTTATTTGGTTACACTTTATTTTAAGGTGTCTTTGTTACACTGCTATTATATATTTAAGTACTGAGTAATATTAACTATTTGTATTTACTATAGGGTTTGCTTTGGAGTTAATTGCATGAAATTATAATTTTAGTTACAACTACATTAATTACATGTAACGTGTCAACGACTGTATGATAAAGTGTTACCCTTATGTCAGTATTTTTTATAGTAATAAATATTAACCACATACGGATTAGGGTTTGGTTTAGAGTATATGCATGCAGTTATGTATCATTTATAGTTATTACTACAGTAAATACTTGTAACATGTGTAACAACAACACTAAGATTAAGTATTACCGATTTTAATTATATTTCAGTAAATGCTAGAAGTTATTGTTTGTTGTTAGATCATGTTAACAATGAAACCGTATTGAAAAGGAGTTAAATATTATTTCTCTAGTGTTTAGACAGATTTAAGAAACGAAGCGACGTTAAAGTATGATCTATAATTGCAGCTCTCTGTCACTATATTGAAGGTTATATTAGCAGCAGAGCTCAGGGCTTTAACACGTGATGATGAATGAGAGTCTGCAGCGCCACCATGTGGTGAAGTTCAGAACACACTCGTCTAATAAACCCCAGATTCACTGAAGTCCGCATGCTAATAACTATTTACACTGTAAACAACATATATTCTGCCTTAAAGAACAATTAACTTGGAAGTTTAAGCTATTTCAACGACTGACTTAAAAATTATTCTAATCTTGTATAACATAACCTTTTATGGACAATCAGCTTTTTTTTTAAGTTTAAGTCATTTTAACTTACTGTAAATTAATTAAACTGAATAAAAAAGTTGAATCTTTAAAAAAAATGTTATTTTGATCATTTTTGATAATTTAAAGCAATGTAAAAACTTTTTTTCATAACTGATTGATATTGTTTTACAGTGCAGCAAACATAAACATTGGATTAGTGCAGTTTGGTTATTTTGGGGAAATAATTTGTAACGTTAATATTTCATGATCGTATTAACATTTACACATGTAATTGGGCTGTGGCGCGGGAGCGCGCGGCGCGTGCATGTGTCGGGTGGATCAGACCGACCAGACGAGTGTGTTTTACATATATGTGTGTGTGTGTCTTGTGTATGTGATTGGACTCAACGGGCTCATGTGATGAGGATGAGGATGATGATGATGATGATGATGCTCGCCGCCTCAGGTCAGTGTGTTACTTTTTATTATTATTAGCATATTTACTCACATGAGTAATCAAAACTTCTATCGGTTAGTGTGAAGCGATGTTAGACTGTCCCACTGCACTAGTTTCATGTCTGTCATCTATTGTCTCGCGACTGGATGATTATTTCATATGTTTCCTGGTTTTGATGTGTGTGTGAGTATTATGTTTGCTGTGTTCTTGAGGTGAGGGAATATAATCCTGCTGATGTGAGTGACACCTGTCAATCATCACGCGCTCTTTAATCGGGTTACCTGTGCACGCGCGCGGTCATCCACTCATTCACAGATTCAACAGTAGGCTATGAACACAACGACGATCACTTCAGATATGAGAATCAGGAGCTTTATTGATTATATGAATAAGCGTAAACAGCAGACACATTTAAACACGCGTACAACATATAGCCTATACATGTACACACTAAAGTGCATCTTGATGTCATTTATATCCAGTGTTGGGAGTAACGCATTACAAAAGTAATACATTACAGTAACATATTACTTTTTGCTGTAACGCAGTAGTGTAAGGCATTACTAATAAATTTTCAGTAATATTTTACTCGTTACATGTTCAGTGAGGCTTGTATTACAGTTACAGTGTATTTTACTTCTTAAAGGCAACAGACTATGTGAAAGTTTTAAAGCAGTCTTTTTGTGCCAGTTCAGAGCGGTCGCGTCTGAAACATTGTTTTTTCCTCATAAATGCGAACACGAAAACTAAAACGCCAACCCCTCCTCATCCGATGCGCAGTGTAATTAACAGAATTACAAAAAATATATTTTGCCTCCTATTTTTTTTGTCACGCATGAATGTGTGTCTTTTCCCTAATATTAAAAATAAAACATAGACTGATATTTGTCTAATGTCTGGAGTCCTTTAAGGAAGTAGCCTATATACTGTACGTTTCAATACATGTATTTTCTGAGAATTTTTATTTCAAGTTTTGACTGCAAATGTCATGTCCATAATACTGGACTTCCCCAATTTTAAATAATTTATCCTCAACTAGTTTTGTGGTGTAGGTCTACGTATTTTATAATGTTAACTTCAAATAATACTAATAGCCTAATTTAAAGATAAGGCAGCATTGGATCTGGACGGTAAGGAGAATAACGCTGGAGTTGGAAGAGGTGTGTCGCGATTCTGTAGGTTCGTGGATCTGAGTCGTGTGCGAATCGCGATTTCGGTTTTTTGCATATCGTTACAGCCCCAAAGTTAAGTACTAGCCTACTTAGTTATTTTGGTGAAAGTAACTCAAAAGTAATACATGAGTAGTGTAACGCATTAAAATTCTGAGACAGTAATATTGTAAGGTAATGAATTACTTTTAAATAACAGTAACAAGTAATACCTAATGTATTACAGTTTAGAAGTAACTTGCACAACACTGTTTATATCATACACACTCACTCTTAAACCTGATCTTAACACCGAGTCTGCAAAACTGCAAGCACATTATATTCTTTACACTCAGTTTGCGTTAGACACACTCAAAACTAACTAAACTCACTAGAAAACACTGTTCATTCCCTGATGACACACACACACACACACACACACACACACACACACACACACACACACACACACACACACACACACACACACACACACACACACACAGTGATCATGTGGAACACTTACATTGATCAGCTTTATTTTAAAACTCTTCACACATTCAGTAAAACAGAAATGCATTCAAAGAACACAACAGTGTGTGCGTGTGTGTGTTTGTGCGAAAGAGTTTGAGAGTGTGTGAGAGAGAGAGAGAGAGAGAGAGAGAGAGAGAGAGGACTGTGTATGTGTGTGTGTGTGTGTGTGTGTGTGTGTGTGTCCATGTGTGATTAGATCCGTTCCATTGTTTTTTCCAGTCATTCACTGCAGGAAGTTCGTGTGAACAGAATAAACTCCACCTGCGTGTGTGTGTGTGTGTGTGTGTGTGTGTTATTCTACAGACTCATTTTAACATCCGCTGTTTGTCTTCAGCAATAATGAGTTCAGAACGAGCAGTTTAAACTTAATAAACACTTCTGAAGAGGAGGAGGATCCTGGACTCGGTGTGTCGGGCCCGTGGAGGCGGGACTCTCTGAATCAGGGACCGCCTCCAGCTCTAGGGCTGATCTAACCGGGAGGCCCCGTGAGAGACCTTCGACCCCCCGATCTGAAACAGAGCGATCCTCAGACAGATTCTGGAGCACCACGATCAACCGGATGAGATCTGGCCAGTCGCGGTAAACATGTGACTCTGGCTGCTGGTGTCTCTAGCCGTTTCGAGCGAGCGCGTGAGAGAACTGTGGCCAGATTAACTGAGAGAGCGATAGTTGAAGCTAGCGCAGTCCGATAAATGTGATTAAATCAGATATCTGGTTGATGAGTGCGATATATCTAGCGGTATAAACAACAAGGACTGATAGTGAATAGAGATTAGTTTAGTTTAGTTTAGTAAACGTGCTCTACAGTAATGTCTCCGTCAGTTAACCCCGTTGAGTGCTGTAGACTGTGATGATGATGTGACGAGTGTGTGTTCCTGCAGGCGTGTGTGTGTCGGGGATGCGGGTGTTCACGGCCGGGGAAGTGAAGGCTGTTAACGGGACAGACGTGCGTCTCAAATGCACCTTCCAGAGTTCGTCTGCGATCCGAGCGCCGAGCGTCACGGTGTCCTGGAGCTTCAGGCCGGTCGGCCCCGGACACGAGGAGACGGTGAGGCGTGTGTGTGTGTGTGTGTGTGTCCACTAGTCTCCCCCCTCTGAAGGCCTTTCACCTGTGCACTGATAAACCCTTATCAAAATGATTCATTTTTAAGGCCAGACAAGTAATTTGGTGAGGTTAATTTGTATAAAAAGACTACACTATATTCAAACGCTCCTACCTATGGACTAAACACGTGATACGCATGTGAATCAGCTTTTCACAGATTCGCATTTCTGAAGTTTGCACAGAGATGATAACGTTTTAATTTTTTTTAAACTTGCACCGTGGAACCGGTTTCAGAGTTTAGAGTGTGTGTTCTCGAGAACCAAACACGGTTGACATGCAAGTGAACCGCCAGAACACATTAAAGGTTTTCTGTTTCCTGTTGAAACGGTGTCGTGTTAGCGGCCCCTCAGTTAATAACTACTGATCTTTACAACAGAAGTGAATCAATCAAAACTAACTCTATCTGGACAATAACCCTTTTCTAGATCTGCTGTAAAACACTCTCTGCTCCTGTAATCTCCTGTTTTCACCGTAAAGCTGCTGTAAAACTCTGTATTGTTAAACATGCTGCATTCTCTCTGTCTCTCGGGTCAGGTGTTTTATTTCCACGAGAAGCCCTTTCCTCCGCTGGAGGGCCGCTTCAGGAGGAAGGTGGAGTGGGCCGGAGACGTCAGCGGACGCGACGCTTCTGTAGTGCTGCGGAAAGTGCCGTTTAGTTTCAACGGGACGTTCAGCTGTCACGTGAAAAACCCGCCAGACGTGCACGGGAACGTTGGAGAGGTGCGTCTACGAGTCGTCACTACAGGTGAGCAGTAGCTTTCGTTCTGTCTGTGGCTACGTACGTCTACAAGTGGTGCTCACTGCAGAGCCACATGACATCAGGCTCCGCCTGTCTGGAGGTCATGAGTTTGGCTCGAACTAGTCCGGCTCCTCCTCTCTGGACGTCATGGGTTGGGCTCGACCTAGTCCGGCTCCTCCTCTCTGGACGTCAGGGGTTGGGCTCGAACTAGTCCGGCTCCTCCTCTCTGGACGTCATGGGTTGGGCTCGACCTAGTCCGGCTCCGCCTCTCTGGAGGTCAGGGGTTGGGCTCGAACTAGTCCGGCTCCACCTCTCTGGAGGTCAGGGGTTGGGCTCGAACTAGTCCGGCTCCGCCTCTCTGGACGTCAGGGGTTGGGCTCGAACTAGTCCGGCTCCACCTCTCTGGAGGTCAGGGGTTGGGCTCGAACTAGTCCGGCTCCACCTCTCTGGAGGTCAGGGGTTGGGCTCGAACTAGTCCGGCTCCACCTCTCTGGAGGTCAGGGGTTGGGCTCGAACTAGTCCGGCTCCGCCTCTCTGGACGTCAGGGGTTGGGCTCGAACTAGTCCGGCTCCACCTCTCTGGAGGTCATGGGCTGGGCTCGAACTAGTCCGGCTCCACCTCTCTGGACGTCAGGGGTTGGGCTCGAACTAGTCTGGCTCCGCCTCTCTGGAGGTCATGGGCTGGGCTCGAACTAGTCCGGCTCCTCCTCTCTGGACGTCAGGGATTGGGCTCGAACTAGTCCGGCTCCTCCTCTCTGGACGTCAGGGGTTGGGCTCAAACTAGTCCGGCTCCTCCTCTCTGGACGTCAGGGGTTGGGCTCGAACTAGTCCGACTAACACTACACACAGTCTATGGTTTTAATGTGTTATGATGTAGACTCAGCTTGTTTGCAGGTGTGAGTCGTTCAGTCACATGATCTCCGTGTCATTTCAGCCTCGCTCTCTGAGATTGTGATTCTCTGTGTGGCCACTGGAGGCGCTGTTCTGTTGGTTCTCCTGGTGGTGATGATGGTCGTGTCCGTGCGCCGCTGTCTCAGACGGAGGAACCCGGAGCAGAACCACATGACGCTCCGGCAAGAGCAGAAGGTCCTGACGGGCTGGTGAGATCCGGAGGGTCGCTCGGAGAGATTGCTATCACAAACTCACACTCAAAGACTGCCAGCAAACGCACCAGCAACTAGTAATCACGCCGGGTCACGTGGTTTTACTCCGACGTCTGGTTTCCCAGTGATGCCAGTTTCCTGGAGTGGGGTGCCTTCATCTGTGACTCTTTAGCAGTGCTGGGGAAAGTTACTTTGAAAAGCAATGCGTTACAACACTGCGTTACTCCTTTAACTGCGTTAGTTACTTATTAAGAAAAGAAATGCTTTATGTCGCTTTTGCGTTACTTTTTACCACCTGGACTGGCCTTGTTTTTTATGACAAAAAAAGTCATAATTTTGGGCAAATGTAAAGGCCCTTTCACACTAAAGTGAAATAATAATCCTCAGGCTGAAGGAAATGCAGATTCACTCCTGTACAGTACAGTATAGTAGAGTACAGTAGAGTGAATTATAGTACAGTAGAGTACAGTAGAGTGAATTATAGTACAGTAGAGTGAATACAGTACAGTAGTGTGAATTATAGTACACTAGAGGGCGCCACTCACACAAACCTTTCGACAGCTGTTCTGGATCATCGAAGTTCAGAAGCAAGTAAATTGGTTTATAAAGTGAGATTAAATGCATAAAAATGTATGTTTTATTTAACATATTTAGTTATTGGAGTGAGATGAATGCTCATATTTAGACACGGTCTCACACACACATATGCTCATGCACGCACACACACACACACACACACACACAACGCCTCTGCACTTTGATTTCTCTCAACATTAAAGCGTCAGTCAATAAATGGGACAACAAAGTAGCTTGAGTTACTTATTTGAAAAAGTAACATATTTTGTTGTAGATTTTAAAAGTAATGTGTTACTTTACTAGTTACTTGAAAAAAAGTAATCTGATTACGTTACTCAAGTTAGTTACCTGTAAACAAAACACAGCACTATTGCTCATCTTCCTCTCACAGATCACGTGTGTTTAGACGCTCGTGACGGCTTTCAGATCGGGCTCTTTTGTGTCAGTAATGAAGAACAGGTTTGCAGACCTTGGTTGCTATGGTTACGCCATTCACTGGCCTGTAACTCTTGCACTGCTTTCTGGATGATGAAGATGAGGAGGACTATGATGAAGATGTAGATGAGGAGGATGATGATGTAGATGAGGATGATGATGAAGAACAGGACAATGATGAAGATGTCGAAGGAACGAATGTACATTAATAGTACTTTAATTCACAAAATATATATGTTTTAAATATTGGGATTTTTTATTACTTTTATGCGATGCAATAGTTCAGCATTAGGCAATAAAAGACATTCTGGATGATTAACACACACACACACAAACACTCTCTCTCTCACTCAGACACACACACACACTCTCTCTTTCTCTCTTCTCTCTCTCTCTCTCTCTCTCTCACTCACTCACTCACTCACAGACACTTGTTTGTTCAGGCTTTCATCAAACGACTGAAGCTCATCAGCGCCCTCTAGTGCGCAGGCGCTGGAAACATCCTCTGTCAGATGTCACCGGTCACATGATCCACTTTCCCCAGCATCTAGGACGGACGGGAGGGACAGTCTATGGACAATTATGATTACTGGAATATGAGTTTAAAATAATTTTATAGGGGATTGTTCGGGAAAATTTCTAGTTTTACTTCAAAGATCAATGCATGACATGATATTTAAATTAGTTATTTTGTGAAAATGAAAACCGCAGCGCCACCCTTAGGTTTCATGGTCATTATAGTGACAGATGTTCATTATATCAGTTCTCCTTAAGATAATTTCTCTTTAATAGGAAACAACATAAACTTAATCTCAGAATAAACCAAAAAACTCAAGAGTCATAAAAGAGCACTTGATCTTCATCTGAGTAATCTTACTACAAATAGCTGACATTAAACCGATTTAATGATATTTTAATTAATTATTAATATAATCTGATATAAAAACCCTTAGGCCTATGTCAGAAAGAGATAGTTGTCACTCATCACGGCTGATAATATACATACATATCTGCACTGGTTTTTAATAGAGATGTGCTAGTTTAATAAGAGGTTTTGAGGGTTTAATGAGAGTTTTTGCTAGTTTAATAAGAGGTTTTGAGAAATTAATCGTGAGTTTGGCGTGTTTTCAGAGTTGCATTTGAACTTCCTGTTTCACCTGTTCGGCAGGTAACAGGCCTCTCAAACATGGAGGACAATCACAAACCAGGGACATAAACGAGGCTTATATCTGCTGTAATATCTGCTCATATCAGCTCATAGTCGCTGTGTGTGGTCACACACGGCTGTTCTCGGTCATACACGGCTGTTATCGATCACACTCGCTGTTGTTGATCATGGACGCGAAGAGAAGCTCGTTCACGGGAGTTGTGTCGTGTGTGTGTATCTCTCTCGGTGAGTTTCGCGACTCTCACACACATATTCCGTCATACACACATCTCTCAGGGGTTTGATGTGGTGGGTTTTGTTTCTGAGAGACTGTATATCTATAACCTGTTGCCAGTTGAGTTGTTTTACTTTCTGTTGTGTGTGAATATAGCCTGTCAATCATTGCCGTATGTAAACAATACCGACATCCAACAGTCGTCTGATTTACAGCGCGAGCTCATAAACTGGCAACTCTTGATGCATTAACTAACAATACAAACTCTTTCTGCAGTATTTATTCATCTGTGTTAACGTCAGTAAAAATGCAACTGTTCATTGTTTGTTCATGATAACAGATTCAGCTTAATGTGTTCGTTAACTCACCCGGAAGAAAGAAATGAATGAAGATGAAAACCAAAATATTAAACGTCATGGATGTATATTCACTGATCTACTTTGTAGTCAAAATTACAATTGTACTATCTGGGGGCCATAAATGTTGTTTTTCCCACGTTTGCGTGTCTGTAACTCAAGAAGTGTTAAAGATATCTTAATATCCTTTTAGTTTCAGTTTCTTAACAAACTTTTCTTTTTATTTCTTCATTTTAATGACTGAATGCGTATTGTATTGGAAGAAGAATGGCTGACGATCAAATACTACAAACCCAATCTCCCTGAAATCCAAACGTTCTTGAAACACAGATTATTATGAACATGTTGTAGATTTGCTCTGAACTGAACATGACCGTATCTGTGTATTTTCAGACAGGGATGTTATGCAGGTGTTGTGATAGTGAGATGAATGCCAAAGCTGACTTAATTAAAAATAAATAAATAGATAAATAAATATACAAAAAATTTTAAAAAATAAATGAGTCGTTATACTTTTATTTCCCTATGTAGTTGTATAATTCACACATTTATTTATTTATTTATTTATACATTTATTCATTCATACTCACAGTCTCACACACTTACACTTTCTCTCACACACACACACACACACACACACACAGAGTTTGAAGCAGAAGCATGATGATGTCACAGGCCCGTCCCAGAAGTGACATCATCAGAGGATCTCACACACGCTTACTGGATCTTCAGTCCTGCGGTGTGTGTGTGTGTGTCTGTTTAGTCATCTTTGCTCAGGACTGCTCATAACTTTAACTCTAGTTCGCTCCACTCTGAATCTGATTACCTCGAATCTGCTCTGATAGTTATTATAACATAACGCAGTGATTGTGTTTATGACACCAGCTCTGATTACATAACCGAGTGTGTGTGTGTGTGTGTGTGTAGTAATTTACAGTGTTCCTCATCGGTCTCTGATAAACCACTCCTGTGTTTGATTATGAGTGTGCAGTTTATGATGTTTCATTATTCTGAGGAACTGAATATCAGATATGACAGATTTCTGATTCATATGCTGGCCCGTTTACAGTCCAGCAATCTACACTAATGAACTCGAGCTCTTTAAAGAGAATGATGTAATATATGTATATGGTTTGAACGGGTCTTAAAGCTTGTAAGAGTCAGCACACTTCTAATATAACTCTGATTGTGTTGGTCTGACAGAAGAGTGTCACACACACACACACACACACACACACACACTGGGATGAGTTGAGGGAGAGTAAATCATGGGGAACTGTGTGTGTTCTGTCCCTTTAACAGTGATTGTGTGTGTGTGTGTGTGTGTCAGTGCTGTTGAGGAGTGTGTGTTGTATCTCAGTGACGGCTCCAGCAGAGGTCAGTGCTGTTCGAGGATCGGCCGTCACCCTGTCCTGCTCCTTCAGCTCCTCCAGCTCCGTCACCAGCGCCATGTCCGTCGACTGGAGCTTCCGGCCCGCGGGCGGCGGCGGCCCGGACCATACGGTGAGGAACACACACACACACACACGAATCACGGATCTCTGGTCTGATGGAGCACTCAGGGGTCAGAGGTCACTCGCGGTCACATGGGCAGGATCTGCTGAAAGCTTGTCGACCGCAGCGTCCATCAGGAGATCATAAAGCTGGGAATCACTCAGCAGTGCACACTATATAGATATATATATATATGAAGAGTTCAGATGCAAAAGCCTCTAAGTGCCATTTGAAATTTACTTCTAGAATGATCATTTTTATTAAGCTTGTATATTTAAGTTCAGTGATTTCACTTAAATGGCAATGATAATTACCTATTAGTTGTTATTTAAGTGAAATCACTGAACTTAAATATACAAGTTTGATAAAAATCAACATTAAAGAAGAAAATTTCATATGGCATTTAGAGGCTTTTGCATCTGAACTCTTCATATATAAATCACACACTTGCAGGAAAACCACTGATGTTAGAGATTTCTTAGATATCATCATTTTGGTTGGTAATATTATTATTTATATTTGAAAGCTGATAACTGATATATTGGCCGAAAAATCTAAATCCAAATTTGAATATAATCTTTGAGACCCGGATAGCAAAAATAAGCCTGAAGGCCACAACTCAAACACACAATTATAATGTTGTCCTAGTTTTATGTAGGATATGACAGACTGAACTGTGCTTTTGAAATGATTCAAATCATATTTCAGTTCAGATCATCGTGTTGAACAGCGTAAATATGAAGCGTTAGTTAGGATATAATACATTATTTATTGGCTTTAATGTAAATTCTCTCAGCGATGCAAACACATGTTCTCATTGACATTGTTCATTGAAGCGTATAGCGTGAGTATTGAGAGATGGAGTGAGTGTGTTATAGTGGACGGGTCAGTGCTATATCCCTAATAAAGGATCTGTCAGTGCTGTGTTCAGCCGATGGTCATC